ACTATTATTATTATTATTATTATAAAGAAGAAAGATAAAACAGAATGAAGCTGAAACTTGTACAAAACAAGCAAATCATTGTTTAACCTGTGACTTCAACCTTTTATTTTGTGACCTGGAAGTTAATAGTCATGTCTAACTGTGCAATTGTTCATATTTTCATTAAATGGTTATTAATTCAAAGGTGCTTTATAAGGGGTGACCTTTGACCCTAAAATCAGAAATCATTGCTGACCTGAAAAAGCTTTCAGCATGTGTTGGTGATCACTGTACAAATAAATAATGTACGATCTGAACTCTGCAATATCACATGTGGAGTTCCACAGGGTTCTGTGCTTGGACCATGCTACTATGAAGTTTGACATTTCTACGTTACACTGTTGTAACGAAGAAAGTGCCCACCCACAGCTTCATTAGCTTTGTCAGACATCTTGTCATGCTAATTAGCTTTCAGCATGTTTTGGTGATCACTGTCAGCTACTACCCCACCAAGGTTTAGCTCAAAATAAATACGATTCAACTGAAGGTGGAAGAACTGAATTGAGTGCAAAACAGATGACGTTAGTAGAAAATTGCTGAAATTTTATAAAATAAGGCTAAAAGTGGCTAAAGTTAGCAAGAAGAAGCTTAAAGTAGCAGAAACAAGATGTTTATATGGCTGGAGTGAACATGTGTTAAATAGACTTAAACAGCTAAAAAATAGCTTAAAATAGCTAAAAAAAAAAGGACTAAATTTTGCGCAAAAAAGCAGAAAGATCACGTTTATGAAGTAGCAAGAAGCTGAAATTATCACATAAAGATGAATTTATCCTAAAAAAGCTAAAACAACTCAAAAGTAGCTGAAGAGGCAGAAAACATCTAAAATTAGCAGAACGTTGCTTAAAGAAGCACAAAAGCCTAAAATAACAGAAAGAAGCTGAAAGATGCACAAAAAAGTAGTAATTAGCAGAAGAATAGCAAAAGAAGCAGAAAGACAGCTGTAATTAGCAAAGAAGAAGCTAAATTAGAATGTCTTAAATGAGCTGAACGTTTTGACATTAAGGGTTGAAATAGCATGAAAATACGTGAGTATGAGTTACGTGCTGAAAGACGTACAGAACAAAGTGATCTCAATGATAAGAATGTTTTAATCTTTCACACAATAAACTGACATCAGGTGTTTTTCTCAAACAGTTTATTTATTTTCTTTGATGTGAATCTGTTAATTTGATTGATCTGAACAGTTGGATGTTTTGACCAGCAGAGGGCAGTAATCTGATCTGTTCAGATTCAAACTCTTACCTGTTTATTTGCTCTATAATGATTGTTTAAAATCAATAAAATTGTGTTTTTTCCTTTTCTTTGTTTTTTTCTAGGTTTAATGTGTGTAAATAAGTTCTGCCATCAGTTTTTCCCCCCACGTGTTATTTAATGATATAATATTTCTAAAGTTCAGGTGTTCTTTGTAATTTATCATCTGTTTAATCAAAATAGACTTTCTGTCTGATTTTTTTCTCTCTTTGTTGGGTTCAACATCAGAAACAAATAAAAAGGATGGACTGACTGGTGCTGATGGACCTGTTCTTCACAGGGACCAGGTTCTGGGGTGGTCCTTGTGTGACGTTTGAGGGTTTGACCAGTGTCAGAATAGAAGACTTGAGGTCCTGTGTGAGGAGTGGTCCGGATTCTGCAGAACTCAGGAAGGTCTGCAGATCATGTCCTCAGAAGGGAATCCCTCTGAGCATCATGTAAACTGATGATATCATCCTTGTGGCTCTGTGTGTGAAAAAGCATGCTACATGTCCAAATAAGGAGGTGCGAGGAACTGGGGAAAGAAGTGGGTTAAAACACTGAAGTAAGGGTGGGGCTAAGGTCAAGCTACTGTTGGGGGAGGGGCTAAGGTCAATCTACTGTAGGAGGAGGGGCTGAGGGGTGGGGCTAAGGTCAAGCTACTGTAGGGGGGAGGGGCTGAGGGGTGGGGCTGAGGTCAACATACTGTAGGGGGAGGGGCTGAGGGTAAGATACTTTGGGGGGGAGGAGCTAAGGCTAAAACACTGTAGTGAGGTAGGGGCTAAAGACAAGCTACTGTGGGGGGGGGGGGCTGAGGGTAAGATACTGTTGTTAGGAAGGAGCTAAGGGTAAAACACTAGTGAGGGAGGGGCTAAGTGTAAAACACTGTGGTGGGGTGGGGCTAAGGGTTTAACAATGCTGTGGGGGAGAGGCTGACTGTAAGATACTGTAGAGAGGGAGGGGCTGAGGGCACGATATCTTTATGTGGGAGAGGCTAAATTTAAGACACTGCAATGGGGGAGGGGCTAAAGACAAGCAACTGTAGTGAGGGAGGGGCTAAGTGTAAACTACTTTAGTAGGGTAGGGGCTAAATGTAAAACACCATAGTGGGGGAGGGACTGAGGGTAAAACACCATAGAGGGGGAGGGGCTGAGGGTAAGATACCTAAATGTGGGAAGGACTAAGTGTAAGATACTGTAGGGAAGGATGGGCTGAGAGTAAAACACTATAGTGGGGGAGGGGCTGAGGCTAAGATATGTGAATGTGGGAGGGGCTAAGTGTAAGACGTTGTAGGGAAGGATGGGCTAAATGTAAGACACTGCAGTGGAGGAGGGGCTAAGTGTAAGACACTGTAAAGGGGGAGGGGTTGAGTGTAAGACATTGTGGGGAAGGAGGGGCTTATTGTAAGACACTGTAAAGGAGGAGGGGTTGAGTGTCAGACACTATAAAGGGGAGGGGCTAAGTGTAAGAAACTGTAAAGGGGAGGGGCTAAGTGTAAGACACTATAAAGGGGGAGGGGCTGAATGTAAGACACTATAAAGGGGGAGGGGCTGAGAGTTAAGTTGTATCAATCAAATCAGAACGAAAAGACCTAAAAACTTTTATTTGAAACTAAATTTGAACATTTTATAAACTGTATGACCTGTTTAAGTAGAATTGATTCAGACCTGATTTAGGACTGGTTTTGTTTTCTGTTTGAGATGGTTTTATGACTTGGATAAGGACTATTATTTAATCAGATTTTCAGTTTTTTTTTTTCTTGTGGCTGAGACCTGTTCGGACTCTTTGTTTCATTGTGGTTCACGGATCTCATGATGTCTTTTCACCCAACCCTAGAGTCTTTGTGTAAAAATATGACTGTTTTCTTAGACCCAGTAAGAAGTTTTGATCCCAGACCAACTCTCTGACAGTTCTGTGGCATGAACCAGAGTCAGGCTGGTTGCTGACGGCCGCTGAGGGCTCAAGGGACTCGTTATGGATCAGTTTAACCATCTGAGATGGATCCAGCTGAGCTGTTTGTAATTTCAGCTGTTTGTGGCGTTTGTCTTCGGCTGCTAATAAACGTAGATCTGTCTGCAGCCGCACAGCTGAGAATGAGAACTGGGCCAGTGATGCATGGTCCAAACATGCTCCAGAGTCAGTTCTACAATCACACCAGGTGGTTCTGGATGGATCAGAAGCTGCAGTAACTTGTAATCTGAATATGTAAACTTGTAATCTGAATATATGAACTTGTAATCTGAATATTTAAACTTGTAATCTGAATATTTAAACTTGTAATCTGAGTACTTGAATGTGTAATCTGAGTACTTGAACTTGTAATCTGAGTACTTGAACTTGTAGTCTGAGTACTCTCCCTGCAGTTCAGGTCCTGAATCCCTCCTGTCCGCCTCTCAGAGGAATGCACTGAATGATGGGAGAAACTCCAGCGCTGCCACTGAGTCGTCTGATTGGCTGCTGCCCTCGGGCCCTGCCCTATAAGGAATCAAGCTAAGGAGGAGAAGGAGGAGGAGGGGGGAGGAGGAGGAGGACACAGCCATGTTTGGATGGAGAGATGGATGAAGGAGGTGGAGGGTTGATAAACTCCATCTCAGGACATCAGACTCTCACTTCTGTCCTCGTCCACCTCTAACATCGTCCCAGCAGGTCCCGATCTGTTACGGTAAGACCTCAACACCTCCTCTTCTTCACCTCCTCTTCATCACCTATACTTTTTCTAGAGGTCTGATAAAAGTTTTCTGATTCCAAATGTCTCCTCTGTCCACACTGCTCCTTTAATCCCTGCCTTCTTTAGATTTATTTTTTTGTTGTTGTTTTTGTTTTTTGTGTACAGTGCCCTGAGAAAACAGTTGTTGTGACTTAGCGCTTTATAAATAAACTGAATTAAATTGAACTGATTTTGCTTTTAATGTCGTCCTCACCTCCAATCTTTAGTTCCAGAGTAAAAAAAAACTTGTAAAAAAATCTCCTCTCCTCCTCTTCTCCTCCTCCCACCTCTAGTTGCTACTTTTTTCTCTCCTCACTTTTTTCTCTCATCTCCTCCATCTTTTGTTAATTTCCATCTTTGTTTGTTTCCTCTGTTCATTTTGTCTCCTTCATGTCTTCTTACTCCTGAAGCCCCCCCCCCCCTCCTCACTCAGGTTGGTTTGGATCTCAGGAAGTTCTGATGTGGAGATAAGGTTTAGAAAAATTTAAAGCTGCAAAATTTTAATGAATCTTTTACTTTATTAAAAATTACAAAGAGATCACAAGATACAATACTGGATATACAAAATATACAATAACATACAATAATACAATAATACAGTTTAACAATATTGTGATTGACTTGCGACCTGTCCAGGGTGTACCCCGCCCCTCGCACTGTGACTGCTGGATATGGGCACCAGTGACCCACGCGACCCTGAAAAGGAAGAAGCGTGTACAGAAAATGGATGGATGGATGGATACAATAATACATATACATATATATTATGAAAGAATTATTTGAAAAAACTTTGGCAGAACTGGACTTTCAAACATTCTGCTGAGGTCAAAATGAAATATTTAGAAGTTTTTAAACTTTGAAACTTTTCTTGTTTCTTTTTTCATGTGTTTGTTTCTCAAATTAACATTTAGGAGAAAACAAGGGACAAAACTTTTATGGAGTAAAAATGTTTTTGTGCAGCTCCACCTGTTGGCTGGGGAGAGACTCTGCAGCATTTAAATGATCACAAATTACAGCTAAAACTTGTTAAACTACAGCTGAAAACTTGTTAAAATACAGCTGAAAACTTGTTAAACTACAGCTGAAAACTTGTTAAACTACAACTGAAAACTTGTTAAACTACAACTGAAAACTTGTTAAACTACAGCTGAAAACTTGTTAAACTACAGCTGAAAATGTGTAAACTACAGCTAAAAACTTGTTAAACTACAGCTGAAAACTTGTTAAACTACAACTGAAAACTTGTTAAACTACAACTGAAAACTTGTTAAATTGCAGCTGAAAACTTGTTAAACTACAACTGAAAACTTGTTAAATTGCAGCTGAAAACTTGTTAAA